TGCCCCCGCCCCCCCCCCCCCCCTAGCTTCGACCCTGCCCACACTACAAGGGTTAAATGCTCATTTTGTCTAGGGAGCTAAAATAACAAAGTAATACTCACCTGAACTTATCCTGGCTAGCTCTTACACCGCTCCCTGCAGCCTCTCTGCTCCTCCGCTCCAGCAATCGAATGCCCCTCTGCGTCCTCACGTCCAATACGTTGAATAAGACGTGATGACTCACAGGAACTGAGACCGATGGAGCGGTGGGGTAGCGAGCCTGAAAGGGGGCGGTCCAAAAGCAAGCCCCACTGCAAGGGTTAAGGTTTTCCCAAAGTTCTGCTTTAAAGAGGAACTTCACACCTCACCCAACCAAAGATACATTCTTTGCCCCCCTTACCATGGGTGCTGTAATAATGTACAGACAAGTCCGGAGGATCCAACATTGTCCTCTTCCCTGGCACTGCTGTCCTGCTACACATCCCATCCAACACCGCCATCTTCTCTGTACGTCAGGGACCTGGCTGCTTTAAGATCATCCTAGCAAACACACTTGCGTCGTTGAACTCCTGATGTATCAATGCATTTATACAATGAACAGATCTTCCTTATAGCCACCAATCAGATCCAAACTATTAGGACAGACATGGATCCAACTGTGGAGGACGTAATCCCATTAAAAGGATGCCAATACATCAGACTCCCTGGACACTACAGGAACAAGCTGGGGGTGCGGCCCCCGACACAGATCCAGTACTATGTACTCACCAGTTCATCCAGTAATTTATTGTGGTATTTCAGTTCTGAACCAATATCAATGGAAAGCTAAAGAAGAAAAGAAAAAAGAAAAGTTACAATGGGGAAGGCCCTTGTTTCAATAAATGGCAAATTAAAAAGAAATTGGGGAAGACCATTCTTGGCATTCTATCTCATGTATAGAGAGGTCAGTAAGACAAATTCAATACAAGAAAGATATCCAGAACCTTAGAGGGACTTCATAAATATTATTACTATATTTATATAATAACAACAACAATCATCATCATTTTCACTGCAAGGTGTAACTGCTTGTTTTTGTCTAGGGAGCTAAAAATAAAAAAAGTTATACTCACCCAATCCTCCGAGCCGCCTGGCTCTTAGACCGTTCCCTGGAGCCTCTCTCCTCCAACCCTGCAGCGGTCTAACTGGAAGAACATTTTGCAACTAATTAGGTTAATTGGCAACAGGTCAGTAACATGATTGGGTATGAAAAGAGCATCTTAGAGAGTCAGATCGCCTCAGAAAAACGACAGGCTGAGGTTCACCAATCTGTAAAAAGCCGCATCTAAAAATTGTTGAATAATTTCAGAATAATGTTCCTCAATGTAAAATTGCACAGACTTTAAATATATCACCAAGAGGGCCGATATATAATATATATGTAAATAAAACACATGCAAAATAACAATGAACCTTCTGAAATGTTTGTGATTGGAGTGAGGGCACTACAAGGAGTGCCCGGTACAGCCCCCTCATTAAAGGAGAACTATGAGGTGAGTGATTTTCACTCGGCCTCATAATCTGAGACGACCCGTGACAATGAGACTGTCGAAGTGAGCGAACACATACCGTCGCTCGCTCACTTCTCGATCTATTCTCGATCTATTCGTCCAGAGAGCCGTGACTGTCACTCCCCCCCTCCCAGCGCTGACTGGCGGATCGGACGGGGGTGGGGGCGGGTACAGCTGGCTCTGCCTCTAGATAGGCAGAGCCAGCTGTCATTCACGCAGCTGGGGGGATCCCGGCATAATTATCGGGATCCGCTCCGGCTGTGGTGTCTCAGTATACCGCGAGCTGCAGCTCCCTATATACTGAGCTTAGGGTGATGGGGGGACGCTAGTTTGTGTCCTCCCGTTACCCTAAGGAGAATTATGGGGAAAAGCCCTAACCCCATAGT